AGACAGACAGACAGATGTAGTTAGATATGCAGGTTTTTGAAAAAGGGCATTGTTACCCAAAATGCCAGGATTCCAAGAAGGCATCCACAATCGATATTTAATAGGGGAATTTTATTAGTTCAATTACAGCAGCCAAGAGGGCTTGGGCAACTCAAAGCAGGAGTCAAGCCTGTGTATACCAGTTCCAAGAAACAGAACTCCAGAGTGCAAGCCCAAATGTAGTTTTATTTGTAATCAAATGATCATACCATTCACACAAAGACACAAATCCAAGAACTAATGGTAGTAGATAGCAACTGAAGAGATTGCAGGGGTGATACTGTATTGATTCCAAAAGTAAGGCTCCAGTTGGAAGACACTGCAAAGTGAAATGGCTTAGCAGCTGCCTGTAGATCATGGAGTGGCCAGCAATGCTGAGGAGTCAAGTGGGATACTGACAGAGAGTCTGTCTGAACTCAAATAAGACTGAATTGGGGGTGCCTGAGTAGGCATATTTATAGGGCAAAACATATCCTGGGGCAGATTTTGGGATTAAAATGAAGTTTCCAGGAGAGAAGAATGAGGAGGGAACTTGTGAATGGCCAGACAATAAGTACAAATGGACAATGGAGTATTGCTTCCAGAGGGAACTATTCTTGGATTTTGGTTCACTTGTAAACACCAGATCTATCAACGAACATCACTTCTATCAATGAAGAGATTATGCAGAGTATCTATCTATTCTTGTCTATGTGTTCTTGAGCTTCCCCCATGCTGAGCCTCCCAGATCCTCAAATATGAGCTGTAATCTCCATATATGGTATGGCTAGTTTTCTGCACTGGGGACACTCTCTCAAACATCCCTATTGATATCAACTTGATATTGAGAAAGAGGAGGGGTAACATCATATTCTGTTCAAATGTCATTGATCATGTTTCATAACATCACAATGGCTTCCCTGAGTCACTCTTGTAGTATCACCAAAGCATATCTCCTGCAGTATCACAACATCTCATGTTTTGGAACATGGAACTGGCAACTGGGAAAGGATCAAGTGTACCTCCTTACTGCTTTCCCCCTTGCTATCACCCCTCTCAAACCTGCTTCCTAAAGAAGAAAGCAGATCCCATTGGTTTGTTTCTTAGTGCCATAAGTGCGTGTGGTGTTTTAGAGAATACAAGAGGACATGCCCTGTCCTGAAGAGTTTATTAACCAAAATTTGGTGCACATGAAACAACAGAGGAAGAAGAGAAAGGCAAGAATAAAGAAAGAAGCAATATGTTATGGCTTTACTTGCACATCCACAGCCTTAGAGAGGGCTTTCCAGAAAGACGTCAGAGCCAAGGTTTTGGAGAGGGATTTGAAGAGATGGCATCGTGGTAAGTGTTGGTGCAAACACAATTAAGTAGACTCTGATTTATTTTGAAATCTATGGGATAGGAGGCCCAATCCCATGGCTGTTTATTGGGAAATAAGTATCTAGTGGTGTAGTTCAAAGCCCTGGGACCTTTTCAATGGTAAGGAAGAGAGCCAGTATGATGTAGTGGTTTGTGTATTAGACTATGACTGAAAACCAGAGTTTGAATCTCTGATCAGCTATGGAAATACACTGGGTGATCTTGGGCAAATCACACTCAGCCTCAGAGGAAGGCAATACCCTTCTGAACAAAACTTGCCAAGAAACTCCTGTGATAGGTTCACCTTAGGGTTACCGTAAGTCAGAAATGACTTGAAGATACACCATAACAACAGGGAGCATAACATAATCTGCCACTTTTACAAAAGGCCTGTTCATGGTAAAAATGGAAAACTGCTAAAAAATTTAAAACACAGCCAGCTGCATTTTTTTTACTTTTTGTTGGAGAAACTGTTCTGGTAAGGGCCTGCACCTCAAAATTCACTACAGCATCATACCTGACTGGGAAGAGTCCATCCCACTCCTCTGGTCTCCCCATGCTGAGTTAATTGAGTTCATAATGAATTCAAATTGAATTCAGTTTGCAACAATAGAAGTGAACTGACAAAAAAAAAAAAAAGGAGGAAAGTGGAGGATATTTTAAAATTTGCTGCAAAAGTTGGAGGACATAGGATTAATTGGGACTGCCAAATATGGACAGTTGGAGGATATTTTTCAGCAGTTTAGAAATTGGATAAGGATTGACACAAGAGAATGGAGCTCCTCCCTATGTTTCTCTGACATAAATCCATCCTTCAAGTTGCTGTTTTCCCTGCTAGAGTGATCATATAGGTACTAGCTGATACAACTATTTCCTAACTTAAAAAAAAAAAAAGCCCATAAAGCAGCTTTAGTAAAACCCAAGTTGGAGCTAAGGAATGGCAAGAGTGGAGATGGATCTACTTTGCCTTATTTCCACTAGACATTTCCTCTCTCAAAAACTGCTTTCTGCTTCATGTTGCAGAAGATAGTGGTATCTTTTTGTTTATAGGCAGCAGTAGTAGTTTTGAGCTTTAGTGCTGAGCAGAAACCAAAAGGACTGCATGGAAAAGAGATGTTAGATGTTATCCTTCCATTGTTCCTCCACTTGTGCGTCTTCTGCCTAAAGCAAACAAGTAAAACAAAACTAAACAAAATAAAAATGACAAACAGGGAAAGATGCATGCACCTGCATGTTTTTGGCCCTTAAGTATGGCTGAGAGGTGTTTCCATCATTACACAAGATGAAGCAGTAGAGGTCTTGACTGTACCATTTCTGATTTAAGATGGAGGACAGACTTATTTCATTTCATCTGTCATTGTACTTGTCCTGCTCATCACACCCAGCAGTAAACAAAAAGATTTTTCTCAGCAGTAAACAAAAAGATTTTTCTCAGCCTTCTTTCTAAATGAAGAAGGAAGAGATTTCTACTTCTGTAGTGTGTGATAGTGAGACATTTTAAAATGTCAGCTTCCACCTTCACTTTGAAAAGGTGCCGGTCACAACTCTACTCACCTGGACTGGAACCAGCAAGCATCCCCTCTGTATCTCCTTTTTCGTTCTTCCCCATATTATTTCATAATCTAAAATCAGAGCTTGGAAATGTTGCCTCTTTCTTTTTTTTGTACTGCCACTTCCATAATCCCCCAGTCGATGTGGCCAGAGATTATCATGATTTGGGGCATTTCAATCCCCAAAAGTAACTTTCCCTGGCTTGGTAGCAAATGTATATCGTGCATCATCATGGCATGAATTTCCTTAACCTGATGGACTGCAGTTTGAAGCAATGGGAAACTCACAATGTTGTGAGGTCAAACTGACATTGCCAGCAAGAACAAATGGACTATGGCCCTTCTACCACAGTATAAACAATTTTGGAGAGGTTTAATATCTGAAACTTAATCAGCATTTCTGGCAGATTCTTTACTCTGAGATCTTCACAAGGCCCTCCATGACATGAAGACACAAGTGACTTTAATAGACTATTTGTAAATTATACTGTGTTGTGTTTATCTTACAGTACACCTTATGTTGCATTATATATATATATATATATATATATTAAAAAGAGACAAGTTTCCTAAATATTTGTTCACAATAGCAAGATGATCCAAACAAATTGCAACCAGCCAGTGCTGAAACATGGCTCTTCCCTGGTTCTTGGTCCTTTGGACTTCTTAAGTAGAAACCTGCATCATGCTGTGTGTAGAGAGGGAAAGCAGAGATTCAGTGCATACCCTTGCTGGAGTTAAATTGCTGTGAGAAGGGCAAAACAACAACACTGAATAAGGTCCTTAATCCAAATCTTTAATAAAACATCCCATGTTCCCACACAAATCCAGGAGGGTGTTGGTTAACTAACTGGCTCGATAATGAACTGGAAGTTAGTCCTGCGTGTGATCAGTCCCTTTCTCTCTCTCACTCTCTCTTGCTCAGACACTCACAAACTTTATTCACACCATCCAAAAATGTGTTGCCACACCAAATAATAATAATAATAATAATAATAATAATAATAATAATAATAATAATAATTTATATCCCGCCCCTCTGCCAAAGCTAGCAGCAAACAGCTGTCTCCAATGACAACAGAGAATGTTACACTTCCATAGTGAATTCTGGGAAAATACACTTAAATCATGGGATAGATAAGATGCTTAGGTGAATCAAAGACTTTGATTGCCATCATCATCTTCTACTGCAGGCATCTAAACTACATCTTCCTGTTGTGTGTACCTTCAAGTTGTTTCTGACTTATGACAACCCTAAGGCCCCTAATCATGGGGGGGGGGGTTGGATAAAATTTGTTCAGAAGAGGTTTGCCATTTTCTTTCCATGGGGCTGAAAGCATGTGACTTACCCAAGGACACTGAGAGGGAAATCGAACCCTGGTCTCCAGAGCTGTAGTCTAACCATTACACCACAGACCCTTAAAAGTGTGTCTATTCAGCTTTTTTCTAGATATTGTATTATTTTCTGTATTCTCTCTGTCTTTGCATAAGTGTGTAACAGAAGGAGGGAGGGGGGAAGAATGAGAAATGTCACACTCCACATCCACTGTTCTCTGATCGCTGTTGAGAGGCCATGATTCATTAGTGGGTTTGCGCCAGACAAAATTTTCCATCAGCACACCATAAACTATAAACCAGCTCCAGAATGAGAGACGTTGGTGTGTCATTTCATGTGTGATGTGGAGGTTTGTGTGCCTGCACATTTTAAAAATGTGTGTGATTGCTTATCTCAGGATGGATAAAGAGCAAGTTTCTATGTGTTGTAGGACTCCCATTATCCCTCAGCATTGGCTGTGCTGTTTAGTTGTCACTTGGAGTGTGGTGGCTTGTTCTTAAATGGTTCCAGATATTTTGTCAGCTATCTAGGGTGGTATGGAGAGAAGGCTGTCATTGTCCTACCTCACTTATGGAATTTTACAGTGGGTGGATCCAAAGATTTTTTTTTTGTCTTTTGTTTCAAACCTCCTAAGTGTTCCCAACGCTGCTTCCATCCCTATCTTCCCTTACCAGATTATCAATAAATACATTATCACTTATTGAGGAAAAGACGGGAGTATCCCAAGTATACTTGGAGCCAGAGTAGTGTTGTGGTTTGAGTGTTAGACTATGACTCTGGAGACCAGGGTTCAAATCTCTGCCTGGCCATGGAAATCCACTGGGTGACCTTGGGCAAGTCACACTCCCTCAGCCTCAGAGGATGGTAATGGCAAACCCCCTCTGAAGAAACTTGCCAATAAAAAAATCTGTGATAGGTTTGCCTTAGGGTTGCCATAAGTGGGAAATGACTTGAAGGCACATAACAACAACAGTCCCAAGTATAAGAATTTGACACAGTGAAAGAGTTGATGGCACTTTACTGGATAAGTTTCAGTGTGTGAGTACTGATGACGTGTACAAGCTCCTTGGAAGAGTGAGGAAGACAACTTTCCCTCTCGATCCATACCCATCTTGGCTGGTCATCCGGGGGGGTGACACGTTGAGAATATTCCTACGGGATACAATCAATGTGTCTTTCAGGGAGGGTATTGTACCATCTTGTCTAAAGAAGGCGGCGGTTAAGCCACTCCTGAAAAAACCTTCCCTGGACCCCCTGGGTAGAAACAATTATAGACCAGTCTCCTTGCTACCTTTTCTAAGCAAGGTGATCGAGAGGGCAGCTGCTTCCCAACTCCAGGCAGTCTTGGATGAAACTGATTATCTCAATCTATTTCAAACCAGCATCAGGACAGGATATGGAGTAGAGACTGTCATGGTTGCTCTGACCGATTACCTCTGCCTGGGCATCGACAGGGGTTGTGTGACCTGTCACTCTATCCTCTTCGATCGCCTGAGAGAGTTAGGAATCAGAGGCACTGCTTTCCAGTGGTTCTGTTCCTTCCTCTTGGGCAGATCCCAGAGGGTGAGGCTCAGGGACAGTTGCTCTTCCAGAATTGAACTTAATTGTGGCATCCCTCAGGGTGCCATCCTGTCACCGATGCTATTTAATATCTATATGAAGCCGCTGGGTGAGATCATTCGGAGGCATGGAGCACAGTGTCATCAGTATGCTGACGACACTCAGATATATTTCTCCATGTCCAGATCGTCGGTTCAGACTTCAGATGGCATCTCTCCTCTCGATGACTGTCTCAGAGCAGTAATGGATTGGATGAGGAAAAACAGACTGAGACTAAATCCAGGCAAAACGGAGGTACTTACAGTCACGGGTCCGAAACCAGGTGTCGGAATACAACTCCCAATCCTGGATGGAGTCACACTCTCCTCTAAGGATTGTGTTCACAGTCTGGGGGTGCGCCTTGATTTGTCGCTTCACATGATGAGTCAGGTGAATGCGATGGTCAGGAGTACCTGTTATCAGCTTCGGCTGATACGCCCGCTGCGCCCTTACCTGGATATGAGGAATCTGGAAACGGTGGTACACGCTTTGGTAACCTCACATCTGGATTATTGTAATGTGCTCTACATGGGGCTAC